GGGGCTCAACACCGATTTGCCATAAACATTTGAAAAAGAATTTTGGGGAAATATTTACTAGGCCCATACCTTCCCCTAACACGACTCATTGGAAGAATGTATCGAATTTTTTGGAGTACGTGTTGCCAGATTTTCATTCTGTGATTTTAGCGCGACGGGCGCTCGCTCATGCCAGTCAAATTGTGCGGCTTTAGTATTTTGATATGACAAGGAAATGGATCTGCTGTGCCGATCCGGTTATGTGGCTTCCAATATCCACAGACTTGACCCTCCCTCGATATCTTCTTGTTCAGCTACAAGAACAATATTTACAAAAATCTTGTTACATCCGCCGAAGACATCGTCGCAAAGGATGAGACCAGAATCCCTCTTTTATTTTCATTACGCTGGGGTCTACCTTGTAGTTTCAAATGTTCTTGAGTGATCGTGATCATAGTTGGTGTGCAACATCGAGGTTGCGCATAATGCCGAGTATGTGTAATTCTCTGATTATTTCAGCGAAAACAGATCGCTGTGCAAATGGGGAGAACATCAGTGCATAAAAATAACAGGAGGATTTCTCGATATATTTAAGTGTTTTATTTTTTAATGTGTCGTATAATCCTTCTTTAATAATAAAAATTTGTATTATAAATTGTTAAGGTGTGCATTCTTTTGACGTACTGAAAATGTTTGACAACTTATGATAAATGTCTATAATTTGGCGATATTTCTGAATGAAATTGCACCTAATATCTTACTTTTACCCATGGTAAGTAACCGAATATTGACGGCTACCCATGCGTCGACGTTGTGAAGCGTGTATCGCGTTTTTGGGAAGTTTTTTAACACTTAAGTATTAAAAAGGGTTTGATTTTTGGTACATGTAAGTGAATACTGTACACTATCTGTCATTATAACTTTATTACTGATATCTAAAACATACTCATCTGCGTTATACGTATGCTATTGGGAATTTCATTACACCTATCTATGTACAACTTATCTGGTATCCTTTTCTTTTAGTTAATTCACTGGCCAAAAGTACTCTCAAATAGTCGCCTACTGCGTCCGATCCTATATTCTGTTTTAAAAATGATTTGCTTTTGTGTGTCTGGTCTACACTTAAAGTTTGTTTAAGGATTTTCGAATCACCATATATGTACCTTGTTTAGCTTCACCGTATGCTGAGTGTAAAAATTTTTAATGTAATAAATTTTAATTATTCATCGTTAAAATTCATTTGCTCAGTATATGAAGAATATCATTAGAATCAATAGTACACATTGAATTTTAATATTAAAAGCAAGAAATTTAAGGTTATGCTAAAACATTAATCTATATGTTTAAGGAATCATACAAATAAATTTCGGAATATAATTTTATAAATGCATGCTAAAAGGCTGAATCGAAAGTTTGTGAACCATTTAGAAGTGAAAGAACTTCGGGAAAAACTAAACCGAAAGTGAACTCAAATATTTCCAAGAAGTACTTTTGCTGTAAGTGAGCACCTAAAGCAGTACTAGCATGATAATTTCAAATTAAAATTTCATGTATAGAGAGAGTTTTCTGGAATGTTCATTGCATTTAGAAAATATGTAAATGAATAGAACGATGAGATATCATAACTGGGATTAAAGGAGTAGTAATATCGCAATTTCGCACAGCCATTTAGTGTCGAGGAAGAGATAGCACGCTTTCGCGCAAGGTTCCCTTATCTCTGTTCCTATATTAAAATAAATGTTTCCTATTTATAGCTTTTCGGAACTGCTCTTACAGCTAAGGAATGAGTAATTAATAATTATTATTAATTTATGAAATAGTTATTGGTCATTTCCTGCCTGTTACTAGATGTGAAACACTCTTTACGTTACGTTGAATTCATAGCTCTCCGAGGACATTTTCAGTTAAAATTTACCTTTTATTCTTATTGGCTTCGAAGCGACCTTTCTAGGAGCTTGTAAATAAACTACTTTATCGTTTTATGTTTGTTTACATGATAAATATAAGAATGACTGAAAACTTCTTCATTCCAAGGAAGATCACTAGAGTAATTAAAAAAAATGAACGAATCAATAAAAAATTAAAAGCTATTTCACACAAGAATCGTTTGACTTAAAATTAACTAATAACAGAGAAAAGTATTTTAATATTTAATGGAATTAACGACTCAGTAATTAACGACTCAGTATAAATAAAATTAACAGCAGTTGAAATTTTATTAATCACCCCCCCCAAAAAAGAAACATTTTAAAGGTATGTAGCTATTAAGAGAGAAGAATAATGATGTAAGGGAAGTATGTCAAACTCAGTACTAATATACTAAGTACTAAATACTAAGAGAGCCAAATAGTCATGATTTTACAATAGTGCGGGCCGCAAGGGAAAAAAAGAAGCAATTTTTTATGCTTAAACGATGTATTAAAAGGAATAAACATATACCTATCTTACCTAATACTGTAGATCTCTTCATAAAGTAAAAGAAACAGAAGGAAAACTTGGTTGTAGATTGATATCTATTATTTATTTCCTGATACCTGAAATTTTTTCTTTGCAAGTAGTTTTCAGATATCTCAGTAGACATGCTGCTCGCAATAGTGATTTCCAGAAATCAGATGAGTACCTGTTAACTTTATGAGGTATTTTCTTCCTTCTTTCCGCAAGCCTTTGTACTGTAACTGGAAGCACGTCCGATACACAATCGGGAAATCCGGAGTTCGAATCCCGCAGAAGACATAGCGAATTTTCTTCAGTTTTCTGGCATCAAAAAATTATAAAATGATTCTACAACTTGGATCTCGTTGAATACTTGCTCTTTTTCACAAGTGAGAGAAATGTTTACATTGATACGTACCACCGAATTGGGAGAAATATTTGCCACTTTCTGGGAAACATGCAGGAAGGTATTTATAAAATTCGGGGATATTCATTTCACACAATTTTTGCTTTAGATTCTTACCAGATTCCATCGATAAATAGGCTGGAACTTTCTCAAAGCGAGCTGTAAAACTATTTTTGCAAAGAGACAATCGCAAGAGTCATTTTCAGCACCCGGGGTTGTATATACACCTCGATATAAGGTGGGGATTGCAGATTATATTAATATATTATAATTATACACTTTTTTATTTTTTCGGGATGAATCGAGAGCCGCACGGTATCGCCTTGATCTCCTGTACGTGTTATTTTCTTCATTAAGTATTGCTCTGTTTTCGTTTTGATTTCAGAGCATCGTGGGCCACAAAAAATTAACTCGTTGGTCGTATGGGACCCGTGGGCCGCCGATTTGACACCTCTGATATATAAGGCATTCACGGCTCTTGACAGGACTAATACAAAATTGTAGCAATTGATACTCGTATATATGTTACGGTGAAACACCGAAATCTGGAGAATGTCGACTTTCACCGGTGAATGTCAACATTCACATAGTCTCTTGGTGTATGTCCGAAATATTTTCCAAATACTCTTATTTCTGACTTACACCGGTCAATGTCGACATTGAATGTTGAACATATAACAATATTATATTTTCTTCTCCGTAATTCAGTCGCGAATGAACGCATTTGAAACTTGAAATAAGAACTTAAGAACATGAGAACCTAAAACACACAATACATTCAAAATGAGAAAGGAAAATAATAGAAGTTAAAAACTTACTTAATTATACAGTACGTTATAAATGAGAAAGTAAAATAACAGTAATAAAAAACTTACTAAATTATGTGATTCAAATCTTATTTATTGCAACAACTTAAACTATTATGGCACTTTATGACCTCTCTTTTCGGCTTTCACCAGAGCATATCTGTGATTGTCGACATACACCGGTGAGAGTCAGAATATACAAGAATGTAGTGAAATATTCGGTCTTTCACCGACGTATTTGGTGAATGTTGATATTCTCCGATGAAAGTCGACATTCTCCAATTTCGGTCTTTCACCGTAACATATATAAAGAACTGAATTTTAAATTACTACGTTCGTGGAGGTTATTTATGTATTAAAATAGGTCAAGAATATGATTCGCATCTTGTCGATAGTTTCATATATCTTTCATTTAGTTATTAGTTCATAAGACCAATCGATTGAAAAAATATCTAAAGGTTCAGGAATTCCATGAGAAAAACACGTAAGAAATAAAAGGAGAAATGTAAATTTTAAAAATGAAAGAAGACAGGCCGAAACAAAACAGTAAGAAAGTTAAGTTCTGAGTCTCAGAAACAATAATGCAAAACCCATTCCAAAATTCCATTTCAGAAAATTCTGCAGTAAAGAGGCAATATAGTTAAAGCCAATAAAGGTAATTTAATAATGGGAAATATTATACGAGTGTCAAAAAGGGAAGAATAAAATTTTTAAGGAACTCAGCTATTAAAGAAAGCTGAGACAATTAAGAGTTGCTGCAATCGACAGAAATATCTCACTCCGTATTCTTCACTAAGCAGTTATCCCAAGAAGAAACGTTTTTTTTATTTCATATAATAAGAATTTGAAATTTATTTTTGTATTTAATTCGATTAAATACACAATTTTATGCTTTTTTGCACAGGTTTAATTTTTGTGTCATTTTCTCTTTTATTAATGAAATTCGCAAATCGATTTTTAAAGTTCTGAGGATGATGTGTATTCAATATTTGTTACTTTTTATTTCATATATACAGGAGGCCTTAAAGTGTTTAAATGATTTTTTACCATTGAGGCATAATAAAATTTGGTCAAACTAGATGGCCTTTGAAATCTCACTTCAGGAAAAAGCATTTTTCTTTCTGCGATGCCGAAGTTAATAAAATATCTTCTGCCATTAGATATTCGCAAAATTCTTTCTCTTTTTATGATGAATCCGAATTCTAATCTTCAGTTAACATTAGACTTTCTTTTTAATATCTCCATCAGCAGATGGCATTAGGTGTTTCGTTCCGAATCATTACACTGGCCTTTCAGAACTTCCGCCAGTCTTCTCCCTTGGAGTTTATGCTTTGTCACATGGTTCCGAGTGTCATCGCTTCGCTACCAGCTGAAAAGGACAGAACTGTCAAACCTTCAAAATGCCTTCTAGCACATTTATATGCATCTCGTCAGTAGTCTCAAGCGGCATACCGGCCAAATGCATGATGTGAAACCAGTTAACGGGGTGGAAATTTTTTAAACAAAATAAAAGTGAATATATATATTTGCATCGTACTTACTCTTAATATGCTGATACCACTCATTTTGTAACCTAGTGTTACGCATGACACGTGTGTATAATATGTTTCAGGTAAGTTTTTAAAATGTTTGTAAATTTTACTTTTAGAATTTAATTTCCCTGCAACATCTTTGAATTGAAAATTTATTTCAATGACATTCAACTCTATTTTCTTCAATGCTTTCCTCTACACTAACTTTTTATTTCTTAATCTTAAATTTTTCTCCTTCTCTACGAGGCTAAAGTAAGGATTATTTTTTTCAGTTAATTTTTTTTCCTGTTTCCTTTAAATGTCGAAATATTTACTAAATATTTATAAAAACATACATAAACAATATAATATTAATGCAAATGAAAAAAATTCAAATTTATATTTATTTTCAATCTTAAATTTAAGGATTAATACCCGAAAGCAATTCCTATTGGTTACATAATGTATGTTAACTGAAATGTACTGAAAAATCATATTAAATTTTTAAACTGAGATTAATTTAAACGAATTCTAATATTTCATATGTTTGTTTGTAAACAAGTATAAAGTTCTTTATTTCTTACTAAAACCATGACACTTGATGGCATTTCAATTCTGATAAAGATTGTAGGCTTAAGAAAAATTACTAATATTGTGTAGCTAATATTGTGTAGCAGAATTACAAACAGAATGAAATTAACGATTTCGAGAGGAGCCCAAACTAAGATACGTCTTCAATCTAACGAAGACTAACTTATTCACAAAGAAAATGCCCAGCTCTTCTTAATAACTCATTGTGACATGTCCTGAGGAGCTGTCGGAGGGGAAATGTACTCCCCAATTTCGCGGGAACAGGAAGATTTTTGAAAACGCGGAAAGAGGAATCGTAAAAGCAGAACTAATTCAAATTTAAGATTAGTGCATTACTTAATTCTAATTGCTAATTTTGTCCTTCATAAAAATACACCGAAAATATTAGAGAAATGATGTTCTTAGGAAAATCAGTATTTGATGCTCACATTGAGTACAATGTAGCTCTTCAGTAGGGTATAGAATTAAGTGAATATTTCCTTGAATTAAAAATGACAAGATAAAACTGTCTCTTTTATATCCATTGGTAGTGTTTGGGTGAAATGTAAATCTGATTTGTCTAAAAGCCACATTATGATAACTAATTTTTTATCTGCATCACTGAACTACATTACTTTTCAGTATAATTATACTTGTACTTTTAAATAATTAAAATTTTTAGCTTTGCATCTTGCTGCGCTTCCAATACGAGTTTACTAATAACAGAAAAATAGTCGAATATTTAATGACTGAATAAAAGGAAGCAATGAAAAATCGCGTTTATGATTTATGTAGAATGGCTGTTCTAAATTTGTGTCTGAGTTAACGATCGCCTACACGCTTTGCTCATCTTCTTTTGTTCCTACGAAAGAAGGATTTCACTTAGCTGCTTTGGGAAATTAGTTGCAAAATTTAGAGGAATTGAAATTAGAATAACTTCAGTTTGTTTAGAAGTTAAGTAGATTGTTGTTATTGTTGTACTTGATCGTGGTAAAGCACTTGAGGGCTATCCCCATTACAGCCAATAGCGCAATATTATATATTGCAGCCAATAGCGGACACATGCTTAGCTATGCATGCTATTAGTGCATGCTATTAGAAAAATGCTTAGATATTAGTGATTTTACGAATTATTTTCATCATGTGTGACAGCTTTGTGAATTTATTACAGTAATAAACTGTCCTTGCTGACCCATATTAGTTCTATAGGTAAATTAGAACCCGCCATATAAATGTCTGACACGCGATTACTCGTACACTTATGGTTGTGATCGGATACCGAGGGACCTGCATTTCACAGCTTCTATTCAAGTTATTGATTTATATAGGCCATCATTTCATCCTAAATCAGTAACACATTAACACCTGCTATTGATGTTTTTTCGCTGTCTGTCATAATTTTTGTGATAGGATAACTAATTTCCAATACTTTTCCAAGGGGGGGAGTGCAATTTGTCTGGTATTATAGAGCATATTCACCTTACTTTCTGCAATTTGTCTGGTATTGCAGATCATAATCAATTTACTTTAAGTAGACACAAAGTTCACAAAACTAACTTTCTTCATTCAAAATGTATTTTGGTATTAAGGACCTCAGCTAAATCATGTTGTTTCAAACTCCTACTATAGAGTATTATAAAACTGCTAATTGTTACAATGCGATGTACACAAAAATTATGAAATTTAGTGATCCAATATATGGTAGTAAGTAGCGATTATTATACCGGTTAAGTAGGTTACTGATTTGTTGGTAAATCAATATTTTTACTGGTAATTTGGTATATAACGCGTATCAATATGACGCGTACGCATATTTTTTCCTTTGCTGTAAATGGCAAAAAAAAAAAAAAAAAAAAAAAAAAAAAAAAAATGTTTGAAAATAATGAGATCATAGATATTGATTCTCAATTAAACTATTTACAGAATTTACAAATGAATTCTCTAATCGGAAAAACACGGAAAACATTGAAAATATTCCTCACCTCATTCAGCAAAATCGATAATGTAATACATAAACTTTTAAATGAATAAGGAGCTTAGTTCTAAGAAGGATTTGTTGGCCATCTTGGAATGTCGATGATTATAACTTGTATCAAAGTCTCACAGATTTAAAACTTGATGAAAATTTCCAGCAGATGTTGTTGCTTCGTAAATTCAGCATTACTTACCTATGTAAATCTTATAACATTAATATACATGTGACTGACGTTATACTTAAACTTATCATTTCACGGCTGGCTTCGTTCATTTAACTGCGACAAAGCACAGAAGGTTGTCTGAATACCCCAATGCCCCAAACCGAACTCCCAGTATCCAGAGACTTTGCCGCTCGGATGCTGGCGGGCCTAATTGCTATATCACGAACTAACGAATTGAAACAATGTAATTGAAATAATGTATTTAAGAATGCTTTGCCACGTCATATATAAGAAGAACATTATTATTCAAAAGAATTTTTTATTTTTATATTCTACAATATTTGATTAGATCTCAGATAGGGAAATGATAAAATGGCGGGATGTTTTCTAAAACTAAAACTAAAAAAAAGCCCCTTCAGTTAGGAAGAATATCGCGGAACGAAAGCATTTATAAAAATTAAAAAATGCTACTAAATTAACAGAAATAAATGTGACTTTGATTCCGAAAAGTATATAAGCACAATTCCTTCGACTTCTTACTATTTTTTTATAAGATAATATTTTGAATTCTTAATGAAGGACGAAACGGAAGTATCCTACAACAAATCAACTCTGGAAAAAAATTACAAAAAATATTAAAATAAGTCATGAAAAAAAAAAAAAAAAAAAAAAAAAAAAAAAAAAAAAAGAATTCTAGCGTTTTCAGAGAGAAAAATAAGAAAATATAACCGAAAAGCATCCGACTTCCTAACAGATACTAGACTAACAAGTGCTGAATCTGAGAGAACGTTCGAAGTAGTTGGTTTATAAACTGGTGTGTATAAATACGGAAACTAGGGTTTAGTTAGGAGACCCAGAGACTAGATAAACTATGTTTTGTCCTTGCTTCTAGTATTCGAAAAATAAAAATGATTTATTTACGTATAAAAGCTAATATTTTCTCACATTCGGAGTAAAGGTTCTCACTCAAAGACTTCGTGTTTCTCACTTTCGTGGTACGTAGTATGTTTCGTTGCAAAGACCCATACATAAAAATTTCTCTCTCTTTCTCTATTTATATAAATTTTAATGAAATTCTAAGAATTTATTTGTTTGTTTCTTAGTGACGTATTTAGAAAATTAATTACTTTTGAAATATATATATATATATTTCAAAAGTAATATAAATTAAAATATATATATATATATATATATTTCAAAGTAATATACTATATTTTAGCAGTTATATAATGTAAATAATTTTTGTTGCATTATTTACTCTTATATTTCTAATAATTGTTTTGGAAAGAAAATTCCTGGTTAATTACTAGTGAACCGGTTTTATTTGTCACATTTATCTAATTATCTGTAACAGAAAAAGTCTTTAAGTTTATAATTCTCACTATAAAAATATTGGGATCTATAACGTAGCAGTGGTACACTGTCGAATACTCAAGGTTATGTTCTACATAGTGTAACCTATTACTATGCATTCTAAATAAATGCTCTTTCGGTTACCATACCAATCTCGGCCGCATGTGGCCTCTGGTTGAATATTAAATGTTACGATCATTAATTTTGGGTCAGCTGTCAAGTCATCGGCATAAGATTTATTCTTGGTTAAAATCGAAATTGAATTGGGTATAAAGTCGTTCTGTCACCACTGGTGTCCAGGGCCTTAGGCGCACCAACAACAAGTATATTCTGTCCCAAATATGATTATTCAGGAGGCTGTTTCAGGGATTATATGCCAAATATGGGAATAAGCCCTATCTGCAGCAACAACAAATGGAATTATAGTGACTGAAAAATACTGTAATGAAGTGTAACAACTCGTATTTATGTATCCAAAACTGGTTAACAATGTTTTATATAAAAGTAAAGATTTTAGAGTTGGTAAGACAAAGCTTAAAAGATTTCTCAGATCTTTCAAATAAGAATAATAAAAAAGAGAGAAAAGAAATTTCTGTTTATAAATAAAAATTTTAATTAAAGCAAAATTTGAAATCTGCATTTAACAAAAAAAGAATCCTGAGTACACTTTATAAAATTAAAAAGATAAATTAATTTGGTAAATTAAGTACCTAATTAAAACTCTAGAAGTTTGAGGTTAATTTTCGCAGCATAATTTGGCAAAAATACATGAATAAATGCTCATAATCTATTAATAGTTCGCAACTTAGCAACCATGGTTGAGCATTGTAGTTAAGTAGTAACGTAGTTTTAATTTGATAGACAACTGGTGTCAGGTGCGTGACACAGCATTTACATACTGTGGCATGATTGGTTACAAACATCCAGGACGTAGAAGTAGAGGCTATTTATGTTCAAAAATCTCGAGATGATTCTACAGTTAGTTTCGAGAATTTTAGAGAAAACGCAACACACCGATTACTTGAAATTCCCGTTATATT